TGTAGCAACGTCTCCTCATTTTTGATGATCGTCCTGGGTAAGACGTTAATCTACATCCAGCTCGACCTGTCGGCTGGGGCTGTAGAATACGCCGACTGCACCTCTGTAGAGGGGTAAGACCCCCCCCCCCAATGAGGCCAACTGTTGGCCGTGGGTGGCGACCCGTAAGGTGCTAGTGGTTGAGCAGCCATTGATCCGGCAACAGAGTGTTCAATGGCTTGCGACACACCACTTTGGACCTTACTTGGTCGGATTGGGCCCGATCCGATCAATCGGCTGGTCCCGACATGCCCTAGCACATATATATTTATTTTTTCTCCTGACTGTACTATTGAATCTACTTTAGTGGAACATTTCCCAACCCTTTATCGTATATGTGCTAGAAGGCGGAGGCTGAGGGTCAATTGTGTTGTGAGCAAAAGACTTTTTGACCGCTGTTGAATTTTTCGGCACTAAACCAGAGTTTGGCAGAGGCTCAGAACTTCGCTCCCAATATGAGTATACTGGTCGTGTATCCCCGTCTCAGCCAAGGCGAATGGGTTACCCCCTTGGTTCATTCCCTTCTCAAGTTGGACTCCGTGGTGGGTGGCGGAGCACAGGGCCAATGAATATAAAAACACAGATATGGCGTATTTAATTAAAAAAACAAAACGTAACCTATCCGAATCAAACTCTGCGTGCGAAGCAGCAGACTTCCCCAGATTTATTGTCATTGAATCCCTGGAGGAGGTCTGTCTTGCTAAATTCTTCCCATTTTTAATTGAGAAAATTATTTCGGCACTGGCGACCCCAAAAAACGTCAAAAAATTAAGAAATGGGAACTTGCTTGTTGAGGTGGATAGCCAAAGACAAGCAGAAAACATCTTAAAAATGAAAAATTTTTATAACACCAAATGCTACCCACATGAAAGTCTCCATGTTTCCAAAGGGAGCTGGCTTTAGCCAGAGAAGACGAAATGACAGCTGTCCTGGGAAAACATGGAGTGACTAATATAAGAAGGGTGAGTATAAGAAAATGTGGTGAAAAAATTGAGACAAACACTTACATCTTGTCTTTTAATCAACCACAAATCCCTAAAGTGGTCAAAATAGGCTATTCTCTGGAGAGAGTTAAGCTGTACGTCCCAGCTTCCTTGAGGTGCTTCAAATGTCAGAAATTTGGACACCACAGGGATTTTGTAGAGGACGACAGACATGTGCCAAATTCAGAGAAAAAGAGCCAAACTATAAAGAGGAGGAATGTTTGAAACCACTTAGATGTCCAAATTGCCAACAAGACCATCCGGCATACGCAAGATCTTGTGACATTTACAGAAAAGAAAGAGAAATCCTGGAGGTTAAACATAAGAAAAATGTGTCCTTTCTGGAAGCCCGAAAAATTGTAGGCTCCTATATGGGTGAGACCAGCTATGCCTCTGTTACACGGAGGGCTGAAACTATTAATGAAGATAATAAATATAGAACCCTGATAAATAAACTAATAAATTTGGATCCAAGTGAGTGGACAAAATTCCAGGCAGATCTAAAAAAAAAGGAACACACCAATAGTATTCAAACATCTCGATTGGAAATTCCAGCTAAGATTAATATATCTCATGATAAAATTAGAGATGATAAAAAATAACCAAAAAGACATCCCAGATACAGACCACTCCTCCCAAAAAACAAAACCTGCAACGATCACCAATCCGTCCTCCATCTTTAAAAATTGATAACTTGGGGGAAAATAACATATCAAACCCCGAACCTAACAATGATAAAGTAGAAAGTTCCCCACAATCAAAGAGAGATCATACCCCGACTTCATCCTCACGGGAATGTTTAAAGTTGTTGAATCCACTAAGCCAATTTCTCACTAAATTCCTCCTCTGACAATACTAACACAGAATTTCTGAACTACAAAAATAAAATCGAAAAACAGAAGTTCAATTTTAATTCAGACAATACAGAAAATTACAATGGATTCTTCACATTACAAGAATTAAAAGAAGCCATACAAGCCTCTCACAACACTACAGACGGACCAGACGAAATTCATTATGAATTTCTCAAGCAACTACCCCCAAAATCATTAGAATACCTACTATATACATTCAATTTAATATGGAAAAATAGCACTATCCCAGAATCATAGAAACTAGCTACCATCAGACCCATTCCTAAACCAGGGAAAAACAATCTCTATCCTACAAATTATCGTCCAATAGCACTAACCGGCTGTCTGTGCAAAACTATGGAACGTATGATTAATAGAAGGCTAATTTAGTATGTAGAATCCAAAAACCTGTTTACCAACTCCCAATGTGGCTTCAGAAATCAAAGATCTACGATAGATCCTGTGGTCAGGTTGCAGACCTCTATAAGGGAGGCATACATCCAAATGCAACACCTTGTAGCCATTTTTTTCGACTTGGAAAAGGCTTATGAGACCACTTGGAGGTACGGTATTATGAAAGACCTGCGTGACATGGGATTGAAGAGCAGACTACCAAACTTCATTAAATCATTTCTTTCGGACAAGAAGTTCCGAGTCAGAATTGGTTCAATCCTGTCGGACATTCAAAACCAAGAAGAGGGTGTCCCTCAGGGGAGTATACTGTCAGTAACCCTCTTCAACATCAAAATTAATAGCATTACCAACTATCTTAATCCTGGAGTTGATAACTACTTGTATGTTGATGACTTCTGTATAACCTCCCCATCCAAATACATACGTACTGCAGAACGTCAACAGGGCATCAACAAAATAAATAGATGGGCTATCACAAACGGCTTCAAGATTTCAAAATCCAAAACCCAATGCATGCATTTTTTGTCAACTAAGGAAAATGCAGTCGAGCAATATAGGAGTTATATTCGGCAAAAAACTGAACTTCATCCCCCACATACAATATTTAAAAGAAAAATGCAGTAAAGCCCTAAAACTACTTCGAGTTTTAGCCCACAAAGACTGGGGTGCAGATCAACAAACTCTCATTAAATTATATCGAACATTAATTCGATCAAAAGTACATATATGGAGCAGCCAGAAAATCTTATCTAAAAACTCTTAATACAATCCATCATGAAGGATTGAGACTCGTCTTGGGGGCATTTAGAACATCCCCTGTGGAGAGCCTTTATTCTGAAGCGTACAAACCACCACTAAAACTTAGATTCACAAAATTAGATCTGCAATACTACACTAAAATCAAATCTCAACCCACCAATCCAGCCTATAATTGCATTTTTAAATCCAAATACCAAGCCATATTTGATCAAAAAGAAAAGGCCATAAAACCTTTTGGTCTCCGAATGAAAAATACAATGGAAGACAACAACATCTCAATTACAAACATCCACGATACCGTTAATCTAAGCTCACCTCCCTGGCAACTTAAAAAAACCTGTGGTCAAACTTGATCTCAACAAACTCCCTAAAAATAAAACACACCCATTAACTTATCAAGAAAAACTCTACAACATTCATGAAAAGTACCCAAATTACTTGCACATTTACACTGATGGTTCTAAAAACAGTAATAGAACTGGATGTGGAGTAGTTCTTGGTAAGAAAACAATGGAAAAATGTCTCCCAAATGAAGCTTCCATATTCACCGCAGAAATCTGTGCAATAAATTTGGCTCTTCAGATTGTTGACGCCAGCAATATAAAAACATTCATTATTCATTCCGACTGAATCTCTGTCCTACAATCCATAAAAAATACACGACAGAATAACCCTCTTATTGTTAAACTGTTGAACAAACTGAACACCTTTAACACATAGCAAAAAGGTAATATTTTGTTGGATCCCAAGCCATATTGGAATCCAGGGAAATGAGAAAGCCGATTCCTTAGCCAAAGCTGCTCTCAACATGACACCTGACCAAAACATCAAAATCCCATACACTGACCTAAAACATCAAATCAAGACAAGAATAACACTAAAATGGCAACAACTATGGCACAAAAATACTCTACCAAATAGCACCAATTCTAAAGGAAAGGCAACTGAATCTTAAAACAAGAAAAGAACAAACCACCATTGCCCGACAACGCATTGGACACACAAGACTGACTCACTCTTTCGTACTAAAACAAGAACATCCTCCTAAATGTTCCTGTAGAAAACAATACACTGTAAAACATATACTAATAGAATGTACAAACCTCACAGACATCCGTAGAAAATTCTATAACACGAAGAACATGAAGAAATTATTTGCAAAAACTGAACCAAAAAATATATTGGATTTTCTAAAAAAGAATTGGACTCTTATCAAAGATGTAGACTGATGTATAAACAACATATCCTACCTTTTACCATTTTGCAAATAAATTGTCCTGGAAATTCTTGACTAGGATTATTTTGCAGTGTGCAAGCAAATAAGCTCTAGCTTGCTAAAAATGTTCCATACAAAATAGGCATGTAAAATTCATATATTTGGCATATATATATAAACTGGATTTGGCATTAAATAACCCACAGTGGTTGATATGCCATAAAACCCAAACAAACAATCATTTTGAACGATGAAATGTCTCGATGCAACCAAAAGTTTTATGCAAACAGTTACATCTCTCGCACTTCCTGCTTGTGGAAAGCTCTTCCGGTTTTTAGCTTTCCAGACAATATTGAGCTTCAAAATTTTATATGCAATGTCAATCGTTATCTACTGTCTTCTTGATTCCACTTCGTTTATTATTCTCTTTTCATAATAACGTTTCTTTTTTTTATACTTGCACACGCACTGTAATAACTTGTGTCTTAGTGTCTTCACTGACTTGAGTGAACAGATGAATACATACATACATGCATATATATATATATATATATATATATATATATATATATATATGTGTGTGTGTGTGTGTGTGTGTGTGTGTGTAACATACATATATATATATATATATATATATATATATATATATATATAGATAGATAGATAGATAGATAGATAGATAGATAGATTAAGCTCTTCCATTCATTAATGAATTAATAATATTAAGATAATAAGTTATATATATGTGTGTGTGTTTGTAAAGACATATATATATATATATATAGATAGATAGATAGATAGATCAGATAGATAGATAGATAGATAGATATATATGAACAGACTCAGATAGATAGATAGATTATATATATATATATATTTATATGATAGATAGATAGATAGATAGATAGATAGATGAATAGACTCAGATAGATAGATAGATAGATAGATAGATAGATAGATAGATAGATAGATAGATATGAACAGACTCAGATAGATAGATAGATAAATAGATAGATAGATATGAACAGACTCAGATAGAGAGATAGATAGATAGATAGATAGATATGATAGATAGATAGATAGATAGATAGATATGAATAGACTTAGATAGATAGATAGATGATATGATAGACTTAGAACAGACTCAGATAGATAGATAGATAAATAGATAGATAGATAGAACAGATAGATATGAACAGATTCAGATAGATAGATAGATAGATAGATAGATATGAATAGACTTAGATAGATAGATAGATAGATAGATAGATATGAACAGACTCAGATAGATAGATAGATAGATAGATAGATAGATATAGATAGATCAGATAGATAGATAGATAGATATGATAGATAGATAGATAGATATGAACAGATTCAGATAGATAGATAGATAGATAGATAGATAGATAGATAGATAGATAAATATAGATTAAGCTCTTCCATGAATTGAGCGCTCTCGGTCGGTCATTGGCGTGTTTATTCGAACAATAATTGCGTAAAAATACCGTAATTGTTTTCTTGATCTTTTATTGTTCTCCCACCTTAATAATTTTTCTTTTTCTCATATTGTCCCACACTCAGGAAATCCTTGCATCTTAGTGGCTATATTGTCTTGCTTAGCCTTAAATTATTTAAAAAAGGAATGGATTGTACTTGAGTCACAATAGACGTTCAAGTCGTGGAGGGAGACGATTAAAATAAATAAGAAAACGCCAGTGGGTGGAAAAGGTTTAGACGACGATGACCGGACCATGCGACATGTAGGACTTCGATACATAGATCCAATAACAGCTGCAGAGTATACTGCTGTAAATAAAAATAATTTCAAGCGAGTCATATTTGTCTCGTTTTCAAACTGGAAAACGCCACATCACTCTTACAGATTGTCAATTCCAATTTGAAAAAAAAAATGGCTAAGAAACAAAATAACGTGATTTCTCTGCTCTTTTTCGCTCTTCCAATCCTGACAATGAATCTTGTCAAATTTCCAACGAAGCAATTAGTGAAAACAAACGATGATGATTCCGGATGTTCCTTTTATTTATATATATATTTTTTTGATCTTCTTCGTTTCCGTCCAAAGGCCGGCCAATCGGATTGAAGAAGAGCGTCATGTCTGACTGCCGACGTACTCCACAAAGCAGATGCCAAGTAGGTTAATTTTCATGAACGATCGCTCAATTGATGAGATTGTACAACAAGCTCTATTGGGATGAAGATAATTTATAACTTTGCAAACACGAGCTCTTCGAAGCGTTCAATAATCAGAACACACACACACACACACACACACACATATATATATATATATATATATATATATATATATATATATATATATTTAGAGAGAGAGAGAGGATTTTTGGTAAAACATATATGGAGAAAAAAATAATATTTGGAAAAAACATAATATTTTATATATTTATATGGGCTAAAATTTATAATGTTTAATGTGTGCGTTTAGAGATAATTATTTAAATGAAAATTGTTTTATTCCATGTCGGATTTTAGAAAAAAAATCGCTTAACTTTAACCGGTTTCAATTAAAGTAAAAGATGGAAATAAAACAATTTTAATTATAATAATTCGCTGTAAATATACATATATTATAAATATATAATATTAGGTGTGATATTTTCTCTCTGCAGCAGGTTTTTTTTTCAGAATTTTTTCTAACAATTTAAATTTTAAACAAACACACACATTTATATATATATATATATATATATATATATATATATATATATATATATATATATATATATGTTTGTGTGTGTGCGCATGAAAAATTGATTGCATACTTCATTCTCGATTTTGAGTTGATCCAAGCCTTGTGAGTGAAATTGAGTAGAGGGAACACGTAAGGGTCCGTCGATAGCTCAGCTAACACGAAGTCATAAGTCATCATGACCGAGAGTTTGCGTGTACTGGTGTTGTTCAGATTTTTAATCATTCTCGATAACACGTGCTCCCCCAGAAACTGTAACTAAGGTCTGATTGTTTGTAAACCGCAGGTGGGCTCTGTGGTTTTCGAACAAACACTAATGTACCTGACCGAGAGTCTGCAATAAGGACTGACTAGCCCCAACTGAAAATAATTTAGAAAAAATTTTTATATACATATATATATATATATATATATATATATTTAAGCAAATATATGGATATAGATCCGACAGTATGAAGAAAAATAAAACATAATTAACATAGACCATATACAATTCAACATGAATATGTCCTGAAGATGGTTTATTAGACCGAAACGTCCGACGTTGACATTAAACATTAAAACAGCATAATCGCATATTAGGATTTTTGTTTGTTTTTTTTTCAGTATATTTTTTCATATATATATATATATATATATATATATATATATATATATATATATATATATATATATTTTTATATATATATATATATATATACAGGGATTTCTCGCCAATTAAATCCCTTTGGTATCTGATGATCCTTGTTTCCATAAATTTCTGCCGTATTTGTTCTTATTTTTACTAGAAGCTTTCGTCTGTTCCTACAGACATCTTCAGGTATAGAAATTTATGGAAACAAGGATCATTTCATTCATAACGGATTCGGAGGTATTTGTAAATTATTTGAATTGTTTGCGATGATGGATTTCTCGCCAATTAAATCATTAACCTTTGCATTTGTTTTTGTGTGAATAATTCATGAATTTGTAAATTGATTGCACGTTTATCGTAATTTAAATATATATATATATATATATATATATATATATTATATATATATATATATTCGTCCCCAGAATTTTAGAATGTCGCTGCCATATATGGCCCGGTGCCTCTGCTACTTACCTTGAGCTACTTGATAAAATCCAAATTAGAATAAGCAATATTATCGGTCCTGACTTGGCATCTCGGCTTCAGTCACATTCCGATTTCCATAACGTTACTTCGCTCTGTCTTTTCTGTAACTAATTTCATGGTGATTTTTCGGGTCAGCTCTTCGCTATGGTGTCTCGTCTTTTTTTTTTTTAAATTTAATCTGGCGTCAAGATCTCATAAACTTTCAGTTGTGCTGGCTAGATATAACCGTAAATTAGATTCTAACAGTTACTTTTCTCGCCTGAGGAAATCACTTCCGGCTCCATGCTTTCCAGCCAACTTTAATCTGTAAAACTTAAAATGCAACGCCAATCGCTATCTACTATCCTCCTGATTGGTTTTTTTTCTCTAAATAAATAAATATTTGTTGCAAAATGAAATCCTTATATTTTCTTGTACGTTCAGAGGATGAAACACACACACACACACACACATATATATATATAATATGTATGTATTTATATATATTTATATTTATAAACATATTGTAAATGCATATGTATATATAATATATATATATATATATATATATATATATATATATATATATATATATATATATATATATATACATACATATATATATATATATATATATATATATATATACACTTTATATACATATCATTTATATATTTTATATGCATATATGGGACTTATTGGAAAGCGCTCAGTATCAGTAATAGAGCTAACATATTTAGTTGGGTATATATATATATATATATATATATATATATATATATATATAAACAAACGTTATTCTGCCACATCCATGTTGCTGAGGGCATATTCTCCATTTTGAAGGCAATGTTTTACAATCAAATTGCCTTTGACGATTACAAATTGGTAAAATTTTCAGGTTGTATTTACTCAATGATTGACACTTTACATAACACATTCCTTAAGTCCAGTGCCTCTTGGCCTCGAAAGAATTTTACTGTGATTTTATTTTGCAAATATCGTATCATCATGCCATTCCTAACCATCTTTCTACATCTCTATACGGTGGAAGAAAAGATGGATTGATATTTCCGCAAAAGTGTCTGCAACAAACTCGAGAGAAATTCGAACACAGCTGACTGTTGTTCAGGTTCCCAATCCATTAAGGAACCTGCATATCCATTCGGCAAATGCGCCATCTCAAATAAATCTTATAGGATTTATCCTTATCATCATGTTCAATATAACTTCTATTGTTGGTGCCAGGTTTTATTAGGGAAAAAAAATAAGTAGAACATTTTTTTTATTGATAAATGTATCCAAAAATGTTGCTAAATTATATCTTCGATTCACACAATGTCACGTATAACCAAACAAATTATTTGATTATGTTACACGTTAGTTTTCACGTTTTCACATCCTATATGTAATGTCTTTGATTTTTTTTATTATATTTTTTTAATGTTGTCGATTTAGCATAGCTACGGTTATGCAAAGGGTAGCGACTCGGATTGAGGAATCGAAGTACTGTGTTTGAATTTCAGTCGAATTCATTACATTCACTTACGCGCTAATACCCAAAGGTATAAATCCTCTTCTTCTCCCTCCAGCTATGGGTTCTATAGCCTTGGATGACAACTGGTCTACCACAGAAAGAAATGGCAACCTACTGCGGGAAAAAATGTGCATGGCACATAACAGGCCATTTTTTGCTTCATCATCTCGGGGGAAAACGTTACTGCCTTCGATCGGCATGGCTGACTCGTGTGCGTTTTCAGGCTAATATTTCCGACTGACATGAAGTGGAAAGATTATATTGAATGAATTGGTCGGTCTGCTGCTAGGAAAGTTGTTTCTATGCTAGACAATAATTTCTCGCTAGAATCTATTTTACATTTTTATAAGTCTAGCATTCTCCCACATATAATCTGGTGCTGCCACATATGGTCTGATGCTCCTGCTATACATTTAAAATGTCTTTGGGCACCTCGACGTGGTGTAATGGTTAAGCAAGCTTGTCTTGCTAGATCAGTTACTAAAGAAAAGTGAGTTCGATCCTCACTGGATGCCCCATACTTTCGGCTTTGTGCCACATCTAAGCTACGCTTGGAAAATCTCTACATTTAAAATGTCTTGATAAAATTCAAAGAAGAATCTGCAGTGTCATTGATCCTGACCTGGCATCTCGTCTTCGGCCCCTTTCCTACTGCCGTAAATTTAACTTCATGGTGACTATGATGAACTTACCTCTATGGTAACTAGATTTAGGAATTTGAATGAATTACTAGGGTTGCGTTGTGGCGTAATGGATATGGGAGAGCCGAGTTTGAATTCGAGTCAGGTTTGCTAGATTCACTTACGTACACATACTCTTGGGGAAAGGTATGAATCAATCTCTTCTCTTAGCTATGTGTTGAATAGCAGGACAGAATGGATTCTTTAAACATGGTTGGCAAGGAATCTCCCGCAGAAAAACATGGCGACCTATTGCGGGAAATATATGTCTCGTCAGTCATTTATCGAAAGATACATGATCGCCAAAGCGTGTATCGCGTATGGTACTTAACTGACTGACTAGATTTGCCACAAGGTCTCACCATTTTACAGTTGAAATGGCTAGATGTAACCGTAAGCTAACCGTTTCTTTCATGGCATTTCTCGCTTTCCCAGCTTCTTGCTTCCAAGTCAACTGTGTTTCTTCGGAATTTAAACATAATATCACTCATTATCTTATGTCTTCATAATTCTTGTTCTTTTATTGTTTTCTCTCTCCTTAATTGCATTTTTTCCATATTCTCTCAACCCTCTCTAACTCCTTGGGTCTTACTTGAGGTGAAATGATTTTAAAATATATATAATTGCCTTTTAATGATTGCCCATATATTATTTATCGCAATAATACCTGGAGAGATTGATGGGTGTTCTATTAGTTTTGCTTATTTGAAAACATTTTTTCGACAAGGTGGTCAATATTCGTCATTGAAGAATATAAAGGCGGGAACAACTGCTTGGATATAGACTTTAATTTCGTCACCTTGCTTGTTATCTGAAATATTAAAAAAATTACACTTTTGTTGAGTTCGTTGAAGAAATTTTTTCTTGTAAAAATGTAGTGGACATACTATTGCAGTCGCATGATTTTTTAATGGAGGCTGGTAACAGTGGGTAATGTAGGGGTATTGTTGACCATGTTCACCATAGTCTATGAATATAGAACACAGCGCAGTACCTAATCTGTTCAATGAAACAACGTTAAAGATTAATCCTCTCGAGTCAGATGAATTACTGAATCTGACTATATCACCAATACCACCAGCAGCTGTTCAGTAAATCTTCAGTCTTCGATATCAAAGGCTGGCAGTAAATATTTGGGAAAAACATGGCCGCCTTTATACATGTCGCATTGAATATTTTGAGCCTTCTGATTGGTTAAACCTTCAATTAGTGAACTATAAAATGAGTCAGCTCATTTTGGCTGGCTCACTATTACATCATGGTAACCCAAAATTCCAACAGGTATGATTGTGTTGTATGTTGAGTTTTTTGCTGTGAAGTAAGAAAGGAAATGAGATACATTCCGTCGCTATATCCTGTATACGGAGTGCAAGAAAAGAGATAAAGTGTGTCTTTTTTCTTTTACACAGCTTTATACAAGCGAGCATTATAAAACATCCGATGACAGATAAGTTGAGGTGATCCTTCAATATTTATCTAAAAACCATGATCAAATTTGAAGAGACATATATTTTTACTGTCTACGATAACAGCTGAAAACTAGTGTTGGTCGATGATTGCCACAAAACTCTAGCGATCACATCCATTTAATGTCACATTGCATCGATAAAAAAAGTCGAAATCCTTTGGTTCTATGCTGCTCAAGAGGTAGTTTCACTCGTCTTGGATATGATGATAAGATAACACCCAGTTATCTGATTGGGGGGATACGAGTAGTTTGGAAACACTTTCTAATTCCTTTTTTTCCCAGGGGTGGGGCAGCATCAGGTAGTGTCCGAGCTATAGGCAAATAGGGAATCCCCAAACAGAAACGAAACATGAAAGTATATAAATATTTTATATAAAAATATACCAACAATAGCTATTTATAATATATATTTAGTTGAAACCATAAAATTTACATTTTGGAATATATATATATATATATATATATATATATATATATATATATATATATATATATATATATTTGTCATCCACAGACTGTTTCGCTACTCAGACATCCGAATGCATCAAGCTGGGATCGAAACCGAACTGATTTGTTTGGCATCAGCTGTTTGGGATCAGTTTGGCATATATATATATATATATATATATATATATATATATATATGAAAAACATTTCGGTTATAATTTATTTTATGGATGTTTCAATGTGCATCTCTTCAGATCTAAAGCATTTTCGATCTGAAGCGATAAAAATTTAAATATTCATGAAATAAATTATAACCGAAATGGATTTTAAGGTTTGTCTTTGTTTATTATTATATTGCTCTGTAATTTACATTGAGTTCTCTTTGGATTAATGTCATTCTTGGAATTATCCCTAACATTTACAAATTGTGATATATATATATATATATATATATATATATATATATATCCTCATGAGTAGATATACTAATACCCGCAGGGTTCGTCGACAAATCTCTCGAGTCGGAATGCTGAAGGTAACATTAATCGGGTAAGTGACAAACTGTTTACAGGTACTAACTTTCTCTGTCTCTCTCTATCTCTCACACTAACTCTCTCTCTCACTCTCTCGCCATATATATATATATATATATATATATATCAAAGAAGGCGATGTAACTTTTTTTGTTACCCAAGTACTTTCGACCTTACTCAAGATAAAGATTAAAAACAAAAATACGACTCTTTCTTGATACATTTTATCTTAATATCAAGAGACTGATTTGATATCTTTAATTTATAATATTCACTTTTAAATAAGGCGCCGGTGGGAATCATCAGTGATGTAAATTGGCTTGGTTCATCAGGGAGTTTCGAGCCTTTCAACGTCATACACCCCATCTTCAAGCCAACCTCAATCACGGCAGATCAAGCTAGATTCACCCCTTCACCCTGCACTTGATTGGGTGTTAATAACAACCAATCCACTCCCCGAACTGAATTCTTAAAGGGTCTACAGGGGGAATGGCTCCTTTTCTATCTAATGGATAGCAGCTTCAGTGGATAATCGAGGATGTAATTTAACATTCTTAAAATTAAACACTATATGTCGTTTGCCAAACAAGGTTTGGTGCCTTATTCTAAAAATTTTCGGTTTTGTTTCCTTAATTATCTTCTCTAAAATTCTATGATTTAAAAACTAATTCTAAACATTATAACATTTAAATGACTATTGAAATTAATTATCAGTCCCGAAAAAAAAATGTTCAACTCTACTCTCTCATTTTTAGTATCGTTTAAACTAATTCCTAAAATTATTACGGGTCAGTTATCGTTTTTAAGGACGTGTTTTCCAGTTTTTCAACTAATTATTTTCATTTTTAAATCTTCACAAACATGCAGTGTCATTTTAACTATACTCAAATTATAACGACACGTAAAGAATATAATGCAAAACAATGATCGAGAAAATAGACTAATTTAATACACTATATACAAATTATGAAAGCTATCAAAATACATTAAAATGCGAAATATTCGTGTAAATAGGTTAAATTACAAAAAGAATGGTTAACAAACTGCCTTACAATATATTTCATGCTTATAACCATTTAATAAATAAATAATTAAAAATACGAATGGAAGACAAAACGCTTTACAATGTGTCGCGATTATATAGTGTTTCCGGAGATTTTAACTCCGACGAAAATTGTTTCATTTTTATTTCCCTCTTATTTTCCTTGCTAATAATAATGACTTTGGACATTGTCAATTGACGTTTATACAACGAACCTCTCGATATTGTTTCAAGGATCTCGCCAATGTCCACGTCGAATTTGTGCCAAACGTGTTTCTAGGGAGTATTTAATTTTCCTTCGAAATGGAGAGTCAGGCTCCTCTTGTGCCTCTACTTGGAGGGACTGGGCGCTGTGGTAGACTTCCAGGCCCTGCACCTCCTGCGTCTTACCAGGAGAAGGTCCTGCGCGCTCCTGTTGGTTTGATTTCACTGACACCTAATTTGGGCCAGATGGATTTTTAGCACGCGCATATT